CACCAGGGCTGTTAAATATATATATTTATATATATAAATATACTGTATATATCCCATACGTCCGCCATTTAGACCACGTTCAGTTCCAACTCTCTGCTTTGCCAGGGCTTCGTGTCTATTGGTTTATCAAAGGGAACGTCTCACTATTGTCAGAGAGGAGAAACATTCACGTTTATACCCATGAATGGCCATGTCAGGTATGACAGAAGTACAACTCTGCCTCCGTGTCAGCGTTTGTTGGCTTTTTTTTTTTTAGCTTAGTGTTGCATTAAGTCACAATTTCCCAGCTTAAAGGTAAAAACCTGGGTGTCCCCGCGGCCGCCACCTGACACGGAGGGAATTGGTCTGTCATTCGGTCCATTTGTATTCCACTTGAAGCTGGACACGTGCAGTTCCAGTGGGGAATTTGAATGAGAGCTGCTGGTACACGGTGTTCTGTCTGCATATAAGGAAAACTGAGGCAGCAGCACGGCCAGCAGGTGTGACCGCACAGCCGCCATTTTATTACCTGCTGCACAGAAGCAGCTTCGTTTGACTAAATGTTTAACAGCTTTCAACTTCTTAACTCAGGCAGCAGTTTTTTTCTACGCTGTATTATGTTATTATTCTGCACAATCACGTAGGGGGCGTCTCTAAATTATCACAGATATTGTTGATTATATTATTGAAAATGTTAAATCAATAAAGTTAGTTTATCAAATCGAGATTCACTACAGAAAAGTCAGCTCATCAATTTATTGACTTTATTAATTCAATTCTATTCTCTTTTTTTTTTTTTTACTCAGGTTATTTTCATCACATGACCAGTTGTCGTGGCTCGGCTCTCTTTCTCTGAAGTTTGCACCAGTGAGGTTTAGAACTCCAACAAGCAAATTGGTTCCGAAGTCTCAGACGTTACAGAACAAATTGCACTCCAGTCATGCAGAATCAATGCAACCCATTAGAATTCAAGGACCTTGGACTGAGCACAGGCAGCCGTCACAAGAAAGCTTGAGTTTTGAGGACAACATGCAAACAATTTAAGGACAAGTTTGAATTTCTGGATCAGTTCAGGTGACGTGTTGTGACGATTGCAGTAAAAAATATCATTTTTTAGGAATTCAGTAGTCGCAGTGTTCAGTGAAGTTTCAGGGTTTTTTAAAGTAAATGGGTCCAAAAAAAAAAAAAACTTTTTTACATATTGTTAGAAAAATATTTCTTTTTTTTCTGTTACTCCAGAGTTTTATCAGAAGTAAAAACATAACACAGTTTTAATCTGCTCTAAGAAATCCTGTTTTTCAGGGGAGTGGGCCGCAGCGACTGCACAACTGCGAAACCTTCCAAGCATCGTGCGAGCATCTCAGCGCGGCCCGCTGAGTGCTACCCTTTAATGTGTTACCATGTCTTTGAAGTGTGTAGATTCTGCTGCGTCCGCTCAACACAACGGCTCCAGACCCTCTGTTTTTTTTCCACGCCGCGTCTCTCTGCGAGCCGCACAATGAAAGAGCGAGAAACGCCGCCTCCGCTGGAAGATATCTTAACTTTAACCCTATCTGCTTTTATGTTTGCGAGCAAATTGATAGCACCGAGGGCCTTTCATTTGCTTCCATCATGTGGGATTTAATGAGCACGGTCACTGGGACGTGACTGACGGAGGGGAGCGCTGCACTGAGAAAAAATGGCATCTTGAAAGAAAAGAGCTGCTCCAGTTACTGCAGCTCCAGTTGACAGGTAGCTCCAAACCCATCAATTCTAATTCCAGCCGTGACAGAGACGCCGTGACAGTGCGGTGTAACAGCGCTGTGCGTGATTTATGCTCATCCGTCTGACAGGCTGTTTTATTATAAATACATTGTTACAGTAAATAATCAGCTTGTTTCAAACTGAAACCCCGAAGACGGCGAGGTTTAAGGAGAACACTGTAATCCCTGCAGACGTTGTTGTGTTTTCAGAACAGCTGTAAATACGGTGGTTAAATTGTACACGGTGTATTTAGACAAACAAGTCATCGTGTTATCCACTGTACACCTGACTGTAGCTGACAAACTTTCTGCAGTGCCGGGAACCTGCCTTGACACACAGCTCTGAGCAGGTACAGCACAGGAGATACTTCTGTAAATGTGTGGCCTGAAAAGAAGAAGAATCAGCAGCAATTTATGGTAACACTGTGAGGAAGGCTGTTCTGTTCAGTCAGATACAGACACAGAGACAACACTTGGACTCCCAAATTATTCCAAGCTACAAACAACCACGCTGTTGACTCTGAGAGCTACAAGTTCAAAAACCAGTCCCCGAACTTTTTATATTTGTTTGATGACGTCGTTAATCTTTAACTCTTCCTCCGAGATCGAAATCTCGAGCTCAGCACGGTCACCCATCGTAGAAACAACCCCCCCGTCCCCCCTCTGTCGGCCTCCTCATTGGAGAGATTTTGAGTGGCTCAGTTTGTCCATAAATTTGGATCATAGAGTCATAAATGTCAGGGAGAGGGAAGAAAACAGACGGACAGAATGGATTCCCACAGGAGAGAGAGAGAGAGAGAGAGAGAGAGAGAGCGAGAGAGAGAGAGAGAGGCTAGACCTTCGTGATGCTAAGTGGGTGCTAACGACGTGATGCGAGAGAGAGAGAGAGAGAGGCTAGACCTACGTGATGCTAAGTGGGTGCTAACGACGAAGTTAAAGAAAGCTCGATATCTGTATGAGACATTACTCTCTGGGAGTTCACCTACTTCCCACCTACGTCTCAGCAGGTTCACAGTTCAAAGAACGAATCTCTCACTCCAACAAACGGTGCTTGAGATTTACAAGCTGGGCATAATTTCCAGGAGCTGCAGCAGAGATGTGGGCGGCCGTGGAACGGTAGATGTGAGGATACAGTAGCAGGTTACTGTAAGGTGAAGAGGAACTGAACGACACAGCTATCGTTGGCGTCGGGAGGTTTTTCTTTTTTTTTCTTTAAGAAAAGAATAAAGACGACAACAACAACTGTCACACGGAGCTCACGGTGCTGCGTTGTGCAGTTGGTCAGTCCTCTTATAAATACAACACAACATACATGTGTATGTCAGTATGTCAACACACACGTTATTTACACACACTGCTGGAAAAACACATTTTGTCTTGCTTGACGTGTGCAGTTTACATAATATATATTATTTATACCACACACGTGTGTATATATATTTATTGTCTTTTTTTTGAAACCATGACTTGGTATCAGCAGAGCGGTGGGAGAACGTTCAACAGCCAGGCCTCACAACATCAGTCTTTCTTCCTCACAGTCAGTGGCAGCTCTGTCTTCAGTGAGGACCGTCCTCTCCTCCTCCGTGTCTCAGGGAGGTTCAAGCGCCGGGTGTCGGTGCTGACTGTGTTCAAACCACACGCAGCCGCACCGCAGTGAAAAACGGACCGATCAGTTTGTTTGCTGTTCTTCAAAATTAGCTCTGTCAGTGCGAAATGGGTGAGAGGCTGGGGGGGAGGCGAGGGGTGGTGGGG